GAAGGAGAGGGAGGGGTTGGTTGTTTTTTTTTGGCCAGTTTTCTGTAGAATTACAGTTTTGTGTTGAAATAGCTCTCTTTTAGTATGTGCGTATGTATGTGTGTATGAGTGTTTTTGTGTGTGTTTGTGTGTGTGTGTTTGTGTGTGTGTTTGTGTGTGTATAAGTGTTTGTGTGTGTACTTATGTGCGTCTATTTTTCCTCTCTACCTCCAACTTCCCGTCTCTCTCTCTCTCTCTCTCTCTCTCTCTCTCTCTCTCTCTCTCTCTCTCTCTCTCTGTGATAAATTTTCTCCCCCACCCTCCCCCTCCACCCAGTTCAGAGAGTGAGAAAAAAAGGGATTGAAATGTGAGTGTAAGAAACAGAAAGAGAGAAAGAAAGAGAGAGAGAGAAAGAGAGAAAGAAATATCTTTTGATTTTTAATAAGAAGAAACACTGAAACGTTGTTAATCTGAAGGGGAAAAAAATGCAATAGAAGACTTTCGAAAGAAGAAACAAAAAGAAAGAAAAAGAAAAAAGAGAAACCGAACACGTAGCCTTCAGAATAAAAAATCAAGACACGCAAGAACACACAAGTATCTAACAAATCACATGTTTAAGTGAATAGTCATGTTTGCAACCATTGATGTGATCGAATAAGCAATCAATACCCGTCAAATAACTTTGTTGAAAGTACCCACAAATGATCAATCTAATGAAATAGATATAATACAACGCCCCAGATAAAGGTTTCGTGCTTTTACACACTCCTTCTGATGTAACGCGATCTTCCATTCATAAATTCAAGATCAATACACCCCTTCCGCGGCGCAATTCCCTTTTTTCAAAAATCGATAACCCCAGATCTAGCAAATTATCAAGTGATTTGACGGGAACGAAGAAATCACGCTGCTAGACTGAAGGAGTAGCATGCATTTAATTCCTGATTATCGTGCCTCTTTATGGCATTTTCATTACTGAACTACTGAACATTAGATTATTAAAACCTGCATTTTTGAAGCTCTCTGAGAGTTCATACATGTCTGTGACCTTCAAAGATAGCTCCAAGTGTAAACTATACCACTTGCAAATGCCGTGTAACAGTTAAATTTAGAACAAAACAAAACAAATAATCCAAAATCGAAGCCATTTGACTTATGCAGTAAAACTGCCCTAAAGGAGATACAACCAATTTAAAGCAATTAGAATTTTCTCCGTCACATAATGGTTCTGTCGTCATGTATCACGTATTTCACTGAATGTCGATTGACAACACTGTAATACTCAACATCTTGGGTAGCCTATAGAGTATCATAGCAGCTACTCATACAAGAACAATCTTTACAACGGTGAATGATTCAGTAGGTAGAAATCTGAAGAAGCACAAACACAGAGAGAGAGAGAGAGAGAGAGAGAGAGACAGAGAGAGAGAGAGAGAGAGAGAGAGAGAGAGAGAGAGAGAGAGAGAGAGAAATGAACAGAGAAAGACACACAAAAATAGATTTATGGGAAGAGATGTACTACAACTACAAGGAATGAATGACACAGCCCTTCTATGCCTAGTATAATATTCTTGTTGCCATTCGCCAGTTGGGAAATGAAAGAAAACAAAGCAATTATTGCCCTGTGAAGAGTATTGATTGAACAGAATAGAAGGAGAATCGTATAGGTTTCCTTAAAGACATCTTGTATCGAGTCTAATCTGCTGGCAGACAGTATTGGAAAGGCTAAAGTAGTGAACAGAAAAGAAAAGCCATGCACGCCTCTATAACCGAGCGCGGTGAGGGAGCTATTTTAGGCTATTGTCCTGAAAGAAAAATATTCGACATGAGAACAACTCTTCGATTCTATCCCAGCATACACAGATGGATGGATCCCAGGGGCTGAATTGGAAAAACCACAAAGCATCACATAAATGCAACACCACAGACAAGTGCTCAGGACGAAAAAAAATGGCAGAGAAAACATGCATTGTCTTCAGTGGGTTTTTTTCTCTTTCTTTTGTTTTTGGGTCTTAATAAAGTATTTGATATAGACAAAAATATAGATATGATAATGCCAAGTGCGCTTGACTATTTGCACTTGCCAAATCAAAGAAATAAAAATAAAGAACTAGAGATATGGAGTCTAGATTCTGAGATCTATACCTGTCAGAAGACAAAAATAGAAACAAGTCATCTTCAACTTTTCTGAAATCTAGTTGACCCTCCCCTTAAGTGTCAACTGATTTGTAACACACACGGTTCATAATGTAAATATATAGATCTGCCCAAGCCATTCTAGGATCTAGATCTTGATCTAGATCTAAATTCGCTAAGACTAAGACACATTCAGGATGCTGACTGATTTTGACCTATGTGACTCATTTTGGGTTTGAGACAATTTATTAGTCATAGACTGTCTATCTAGATCTAGATCTAGATCTACTTTTAAAAAATTCCAAATACAAAAATATAAGGTAGACGTGAAAGACGCCAGCATACAACCTGCCATAGAACCAACCAACAACAACAACAACCCCTCCCCCCCTGCTACCACTGAGTGAGAATATTATGTCGATAAGACTGAGCCTGGGAAGACCGCGGTGGATTATCGGTCGCAGGGGGGATCGACTCAGCGGTCTAGTCGGGGGCTCAGCCCCGATTCCAAAGACGAAGCTGTGCTGGCGCGTCTGGCTTTCCTTAAGGCATGTTCAGGGGCTCGGTATAAACGCTTGCTCGAACGTCGTTGAGTTTTCGAGATGAAACGGCAAGAGGCGTAGTCAGAACGGGGTTAATTGTAGTTACTTTTCCTTTGTTCATACGTTTATTTTGGGAATTATATTGGAAAATTAATTTTCTATCATAAAATAAGAGATGAACAATGTTATTGTCACCATGCGTCTAGATCTAGATCTTCTAGATCTAGATCTATGTGTTTTGTATTTTGATAACCCTTTGACTTCAAAACTTACTGTCAACATCCGTTATAACAGATTCTACTCGCAAAGGGAAAGAAAAGGTTTAAGAAAAGTAAACAATAAATATAGATCTACACCATGGAAAAAAAAAGAAAATTATTCGATCTATAAACAACAGAAAATGAGGAAAATAAAAAAGGCAAAAAAAGTTAAAGAAAAGCAGAACGATAACAGAGGCTACTCTGTATAGATTCTAGATCTAGATCTACTAAAGTTATGTCGTGTTTTTGCTTTCTAGATGTAGAATAGGTGTCAAACACCAATCAAAGTGATCAGAAGAACAGATTATAATAGATCAAACTCTCACCGTGGTGGGCAGAGGCTGGAGATAGTCCGGGTGGAGGTATTGGCTGACTCCTGTGGTCAGCATGGTTAGGCCTGACGATGTGGAGGTCATTTGCTGCTCGGTAAACTCCAAGAAAAGCTCAACAGAAGCGATGTTCACTGAGTGTTGTTGTGGGTATATCCGACAGCGAGAATACTAGGATTCCATGGAGAAAATACCAAGTTTCCAATTCGATTAAGATTCTGAAGGTGATGTGAGACTGTGAAACACTGTAGTACAACTTATGACGAATGAAATCACAAATCGATTCAAGTATACAATCCGACTGGAACTTTCAACTCGTAATCCAAGGTAGCCACTGTAAATATCGTACAGATCCAAAGATTCTCCAAAGTCGCGTCTGAAACAAGGAGGTCGAGCTCCGAAGCTCGTCGGAGAACAATAATCTCTCTCACTTTTCGACCGACGTGCGCGTGGGGTTAGGATAGCACTGGCAACTGGCGGGGCTGAAGCGAGGGTTATGAGGCGATGTGTGTTCTCTCTCGCGTTCCGCAAGTTGCGAGAGGTGATGACTGCAGGACGCAATGAACAACCTCTCGCGGCGACTGTCAATCACTCGGTGCGCCCCTCGCTCGCCGCTGTGCGCGGACTGTAGTGAATAAAGCCACCCTAGTCGACAACACGCATAACACAAGTCGACAACACAATGGGATTTTCCCGGGGAGTGAAAAACGCCGTTTTCCGCTCCAGCCAATGGAATAGCAAATTAGGGAAATTCGTGGCCTGCGATTGGCTAACCGCGGCGCCCGGGACGTAGCGGTGTTATAAATACAAAGCGACGTGATTGACATCTGCCGCACGCCAGCTCGACCAATGAGAAGGCGACAAGGTAATTATCTGGCAGTCATCCAACCGTCACCTTTCGCCCCAGCAATCAATCACTCTGCCGGCCCGGTTGTCAATCAAATGTGATTTATACCACCCGGCGGAGCTAATGTATACTTTGTAAAGAGGCGAATACAGGGTGAAAAGAATACGAGTGCGCAACACGGCTGGTGAGACGGGGAGACTTATTTACAGATTGATTTAAAACTGCTGTAAGTCCTCCAGAGGACTTGCTCCAGGACTTCTACTAAAAGAGGAGGCGGAGGGTTTAAATTAATCTTAAAGTGTGCAGAATTAGTTCGCATTAGTTGTCTAATCCCCCACACTAAACACATACCTTAATGGCTAGACAAAATCTTTCTGTACATACGTGATAAGTACCCTGGGTGTATCATGTAGAAAATTAGTAACCGTTGTGAAGAAGAAAGTGAAGTGTGGGAGAACGGTTAAGAACAAGAGCGAGTTTCCCAAATCCCCCCTCTCGGAAATTAAAAGTTACCTCTTCATGCACGCCAGAGTCACCTATCCATAGCAAGATACATTTACGGCGATTGGTGTTGTGCAGTGCATTATTCTGTTTCATTTTGGAAATGACTTGGATCAAAAGTAGCATTTCAGAGTTTGGGTTTTTAAAATTTTAATTTGAGAAGGGAAAGTGGGTGGAAAGGGGTGTTGAGAAGGGGGAAAAAAGAGGGGAGGGGTGTGAAGTGGCGTCAGGTCAAAGAGAAATACATTGTATATAAATAAGGAGAAACTAAGTTTTTGTAGTGAGGATATGGAAGACCAGGTGCTCAGTTGTTAGTTTCGGAGCAAAAAAAAAGAAAGATGGTTGGAGG